CTGCAATCATCATCATTACTTTTCTCCTTCGACCTGACCCTGCCTTTTGAATCTTCTTTACTGGGCTTCTGGGTGGGACCTAGAGAGGAACCTAACATTGGTAAAATTACCCTACAGGGATTCCCATGGCGAAGCAATAAGGTATAACAGGTTGGCGTCCCTTTATAGTGTCGTACAAAGGGACGCGATATGTGAATCTCTGGAGCAAGAGCTGGGGACCTTTCTCCTACAGTGAGTTTCATTTGGTTACGGTGTCATGGAGGCATGGGAATAAACCCCGAAGAAAAGGGAAAAAAAGGAAGAGGGAAAAGGAAGAAGGTCCAAAGGTGGTTGAGCATCGTGTCCGTTATCTAGTCGGTTCTCATTCAATCCTCCTTCATTGTTTTGTGGTCTTTTCTTTTTCTTTTTCTTCTTTACTCTTTCCCCCCCTCTCATCCTTTCTTGGGTTGTTTGTATTGTTCTCATGTGGTTTTTGACGGATGATTCCCCCCCTAGTCGTGTACAAATATCAAGACATACTTCTCGGCATTGCTAGCTTGGGTGTCTGGGTCAATGACTCGGCACTTGACAAATAGCTGTCTTGTGAATACAATTAGAATTGGTAGACTTAACCCATCAAGATTGACTTATGGAAACTATATGTTGTGGTAAACATAAGGGCTTTCCAAGAACATTACCTAGATAGTAGAGGTAGTACTTACTACTAGTAGTAGTAGGGTATGTCAATCGCTCCTAGGCGTAAGAGATCTATCCATTCCAGTTGACACACGCCTAACCCATTTTGGTTTAGGAGCGGCTGTCCCGTCCTCCAACTTTTCGTTCTCCAGCCTCATGTGATTAGTCATTCTCGTCCTCATTCCATTCCTCACTCGCCTTCAGCTCCCAGCTTTCCGCTTCCTCTCCCCCAACTGTCCGGCTCTATCCCCCGGTTCAGCCATCTTGTCCCCATTCGGATTGGACGTGATCAGGAATTGCTCGCATCTGGCTATATTGCATCCATCCATCCTTCTTCATAAGGCTTCTTGTAGGTCGCCTGTCTAGCCCTCTTTTATCGTGTTCACTGCAGTCACTGCCGCCCTTGTCTCTCATCTAACCCCCTTTCCCTGCTTAATCTTGTTACTCTCTATCAAAACACACCACTTTATCTTAACTTAGACCAATCCTTGACACCCACCCCGCTCACTGCTCTTTTCTCCTATATTCTGAAGTCGTCGGTTCATTCGTCGCGCCCTCATTGGCCCACGAGACCTTCAGTGCTTCTTGCAATTTGTGCACCCGTCTCTTTCTTTATCCTCTTTCTCTAGCTCTCGCGAGCGCACTGCTTTCTTACATCATATATTTTTCGGGTCAATTCTTGTTATTATATGAGAAAAAAAAATGCCTTTCCTGCATCCATTTTTCGCTTGTCGGGCTTCAGCTCCAGCTTCCTCGTTTTTCAGCACATCCCGTTTCTTTTACCCTTCGTCAACGTCCAAGCTGCCAGACACCCCTGTGAAGTGAAATGATCTGCTCTAATATTAATGGTCTCCGGTCTTAGCTTACGTTTACGGTTTCCAACGCCTCAGCGAACCTTCCGGCTGCCCCGACTACTCTAGATCGACCCATTAATCGGCATCCTTGTCGCATATCTTTTGACCGTGATCTTGGAATAGACTCGCAGGTTTTGATACAGCGACCTGTGATTTCTCTTTTTCTTCCAGATGGATTCTTATGATGGTTATGGGTCTCCCGGAAGGGCCCGTGAAGGGGACCCTTACGCGTCTAGGGCGCCAGTTGATTCTTATAGACGCAGGTCACCTAGTAAGTAGCTAGTGGGCCAGTCATCGCTTTATAGTAACATTTCATAACCTTTAAGCTGCTGTAGCATCTCAGGACCGTCGTCGTGGACGTGGCCGTTCCCGCTCGCCTGCTATGATTGACCGCTATGAACCTTCTGATCGCCGGGCTTCCCGAGATGACTATTACACCGCATCCCGTGAACACGCCGTACGAGATCGTGATGAGCGTCGCCGTGCTCATTCCCCAAACGTTGCAAATATCGATCGTTACGTTCCTGGCCAAGATTCGGGAAAGCGACCAATCCCAACCAATCCGCTTCCCAATCCCTTGAATCTTGATTTCCAAGTCGGGTTTAACTGGTTTGCGGAGTGGTGGCGCGCCGAACAGTCGATCAAGGAGGAAAAGGAACGCGCAAAACATGGCGGACGTCGCCCCTCGGACCGTGTTAAGGGAGAACGCGAAGCTCGCGAAGACCGGGAAAAGGAGAGGGCGCAGATTCAGGCCGCTTATGATGCCTACAAGGTAGATCTCCAGATTAAGATGGCCAGGACATTTGTGCAGCAACATCGAAACGAGGAATGGTTCAAAGAACGTTATGTCCCGCAAGTCCGGGACCCCCTCCGTCGGCGCCTGATGGACTTCCGCACTGGTGCTTACGAACAATGGGAGCGTGATATAGATGGCGGGTTGTTTGATGAGTTTACCCTAGAGGGCATCTACAAAAGTGAAAGCGATGGAGCAGGTGGCGTCATTGAGAAGGAAGAAGGTGAGACTACGGCTGTTGGTGAGACTCTTGGTGTTCTGGACTTGCTCCCAACCCGGGGTGGAGAGCTTCGGGATGAAGCTTTGTCCCAACCAGCTCTACTTATCAAAACCTTAGCACCAAATGTGAGCCGTGATAAGATAGAGGACTTCTGTAAAGAACATTTGGGAGAGGAAGAAGGTGGGTTCAAATGGCTCAGCCTTAGCGATCCGAATCCTTCCAAGAAGTATCATCGGATGGGTTGGATTATGTTGCATCCTGCCCCGGATGTTGCTGTCATCGAGAGAGGGGATGGAAGAGAAGAGGAGGGTGAGGATATGGAGCACGACAAGGCTACCAACGGAGCTGTGAGCGTGACTGCCGCTGAAAAGGCACTTGAAGCGATCAATGACAAAACTATACATGACCCAGTTCACGGAGACTTTGTTTGTCATGTTGGCGTCCATGTACCACCGTCCCAACCCCGCAAAAAGGCATTGTGGGACTTGTTCTCAGCTCCGGAGCGTATTGAACGGGATTTGGAGTTGGCCCGACGTTTGGTTTCAAGACTTGACTCAGAGATGGGCGGAAATACAGACGGTTATGCCAAGATCGAAGAACGTGTTGAAGAATTACGTGGAAAGGGATGGCTGCAACCGCCAGTCACAGGTCCTGTTAGTGTGAAAAAAAGAAGGACTGACTATGATGCGGACGATATGGATGAGGGCGAAGCAGAAGAAGGTGAGGAGCAGGAAGGCTGGGAAGATGACGAAGTGGATGATGAGGAACTCCTCGCAAAGAAAAAGAAACTGGACCTGATGGTAGAATACCTCCGTAGGGTCTATAATTTCTGCTTCTTTTGTGTTTTTGAGAGTGACTCAGTCCATGAACTTGCTCGAAAGTGTCCCGGCGGCCACCTCCGGCGGCCCCGTGCTGGCCTCACTACACAGTCCAAAGCTGTAGCTCGAGCGAGTGCCCTTGGCCAACCTTTCCCTTCTAAGAAGAAGGAACCGAGCGAAGAAGGAGAAGAACAGTCGTCCATCGAGGAAAGACGACCACAACGGTTTAGTTCTAAGTCAGAACAACAGCTACAGCGCGCATTCAACTGGGTTAAGACATTTGAGGATAAACTTCTGCAGCTTCTAGAACCGGAAAATGTGGATATTCGGAAGCTGGGCGGCAAGCCTGTTGATGAGGCGCTGGAAGAAGAGTTAGCAAAGCATGTCAAGCAAGAGGACGAATCCAAATACCGTTGCAAGGTACCTGAGTGCACTAAGTTATTCAAGGCGGACCATTTCTGGCGCAAACATGTGGAAAAGCGTCATACCGAATGGTTTGAGAATATCAGCAGTGACGTAAGTTCCAGGTTCTGAGACCTCATTGCGATGCGAGACTAACCATGTGACAGCTTTCTTTGGTGAATGCCTATGTTCTGGACCCTGCTCGTATTGCGCCGTCGCGCTCTGATGCAAATAGCAATGGCCATTTCCCTCTCAGCTCTGGTCAGAGCCAAGCTGGCACCCCTCGTGGCTTTAGCTTAGCATCCATGCCGCCGTACATCGGACATAATGGAAATGTACCTGGTGGTTTCCAGAATTTACCCGGGGCCGGGTTGCCCAGTATGATGGGTGTCCCGAATCAAGCTGGTTCTTGGAGCGGGAATGGATTGGTCTCGGGGGATCACTCTGGCCTGCACCAGCCAGGCGCTATGCGTCGTAATAACCGTTACAATCGCTCAGGACCATATGATCGTCGTGGCCCTCGACATGGCGGCGCAGGAAACGGCCGTCTGAGCCCAGTTCGCGGTATGTCGGGCATGTATGGTTCCGGTGGTCGTCTTCCAGCTAACGCCGGCACTCCGTACATTCCCCCCGGCCATCCAGCCGCGGCAGCTTTTGCTGGGGCAGGCGGATTTGCTGATGCTATGGGAGCTGGTACTGCCCAACAAGCAATGGGCCCCCGGGAAGCCGTTCAGGGCCGCAGTCTTAAAAGTTATGAGGACCTTGATGCAGTTGGTGGAGCCGGAAGCGGCGAGTTGAACTATTGAGTACTAGAACTCTCATAAACTCTCCTTTATTATGTTTCGTTTCTTTGAACTACGGCGTCAACAGGTATTGTGTCTGCATTTCGTTGATTCAGGCTGACATATTGGGTTCAATATCTCTGCGCTTTTCTTGTCCACTATATTTGGTTTTATCACAGCACACTGAATTTACTTTCCTATCCGTCTTCTGGTCGCTGGTGCGTTGCATAGTCGTGAGTGATGGATTGAAATCCTCCATAGCTTGCGACAACACTGTACTTGCCGTACTTTGCCATTCTCAAACTTACCCGAGGTTTGAACATGGCGATGTCTACTTCCAAATTTGCACCTTTGTTTCTTTTATGCCTCCTTCCTTTTGATTGTACTATAGTTTCCTTTTTGAACCGAAGTAAAAGAGATCAATGAACTACTTTTTCTACTTGCTTGTGACGAGCCTCATTGTAACCACTTGGCTCTCAATACTGGACTTCACAGTGTACAGTGGGTTTTTGTATATGGCAGAATAGTGCGCCCCACTAGATACGTCCATGGCATTCAATATATTCATATTGCTTTCTTTATATGTCGTTTTAAGTATGTACAAATGGTGTCGCTTAGAATCGGTCGCCCTCATAGTTTCGTGTACTATGTGCCACCGATTACTTTATCTCATCGAGGCATCTGGATAACTACATCATCCCGACTATCCCGCCACTGAACGCCCATCTTGCGAACCCGGCGCTCGCTAGCGAGGAACAGGAGGAGATATATATGAGAAGCTATTTCGCCCCACGCATAGGCTTTTAGAGTCAGCTGACGGATATCCATTTCGCGTAGCGTTGACTCCGGGGTATTGTGTGGTAGTTGGGCACTCGGCACGTCTTCCAGTATGCACCATACGCCCCACCCTGCACGGCCTTCTTTGATGAAGTCCGACAAGAATAACCAGAAGCGGCGGAACGTGGACATGTCCCAAATGCAAGCCCCGTTGCTCTCCTGCAGGGAGATAATGGGCTCATGCGTCTCCGCCTCCACAACATCAATACGGAGATACCAATATCCTCTTTCTAATATGTCTAGGTCTCTAAATTGCCTGAGAGGTCTGTATGTCCGGCCCTTCAGACGAGCGGCTAGCATTTCTAGAGTTGGAGTGATATGTGTTGTGAACTGTTCTTTTGATATGGGAGGTAGTGGAGGTCTGATTTCCACGGGAACAGGAAAGCTTGTGTTAGCGAATATCGACAGAGCTGTGGACTGGACCGCGGAATCACTGATCTGATTTGCATTAGCTTCGTCGTTTGTGCACGGGCTATGACGCAGTTTCTTTCGGTCACTTCTTAGCCGTGGCAACTCTGTTTGATATCGCTTTGCACGAGTTAAGCCTGCAGAGCATGGGGAGCCCTGAGCTCGAGTGGTAGATAGCTGCTGGTCGACATCCTGCAGGTTGCCGGTGTCCGAAGATGGTCTTCCAGGTTGAGAATCCGGAATGACACTCACTGGACTATCGAGATAGTCTTTTAGGGAACAATCATGTGATTGGCCATTAGGCAGCTCATTCTCCTCGTACCCGATGGTTTTATTCGATATTATACTGGCCGTAAAATTGGAGGTATCATTAGTAGGGATCATGGGGTCTTGGAGCGGCGTGTTGTTGAATGGCAACTGGGGCCGGGGCAATCCGTCGCTAGCAGCGGTAGAGATGGTATAATCATGGTTATTATTGTTGTCGCCCGGTATCAAAGTTAGAACCTGGCATGAGGCACTCTGGAAGCCGAGAATAGCTTCAGCCTGAGCGCGGTAGTGGGCGTCGTCGCTCACCCCGCATGGCGCTGCGATGTGGACAAGGATCTCCGAATGTTCCATGACATCAGAGGATAAGGTGGCTGCAACATGGTGGAGTGATCTCTCAGATGAATCCTGCAGGAAGTTCGATTGACATTGTGGTAGTTCAGTGGAAGATCGCCAAAAGCAATGATAATGAATTGTGAAGAAAAGAGAACGAAGGCCCCAAAGGAGTATAGCTCAGGCGAGTCATGTGGAAGTGGGGTGACTTCTCAAGAGGGTAAAAATGCCAACTTTGGGTTTGAGATCAGCATCAATAGCTCAATAGCATTGGATCCTCTCAGTCCTCATCTCGATCTCTTGCCGAATTCTCGGCGGTGATTCGGCTGCTAAGAACCATCAACACTTATGATTTTCATGCTTGGTACCAGCATCTTGGTTGCGCTTCCCGGGAGTCAGCGTCGAGCTGTCGAGAATAGCACCTATCCACTCCATGGAGATCTCCATCTAAACGTGCCATTGTATACTCCACGCATCACTTAAATTAAAGAGACAACAAGCAGGAGACGAAGGGGGAAAAAGAAAAAGATTTACGAGCCGGCCCTCCATTCCGTTAATCACCAATTAGACGGGGGCTCCAATTTTTTTTTTTTTTTTTTTTTTTTTTTGGGTGGCAGGGAGCATCCGGGATACTACGCCCAGATCCAGTACACATTGGAGCCCCAATTAAAATTTCCACCCTGACAAGGATAGATACGCGGCTAAGTATCTAGGTAGGGTGCGACGAATGTCAATCGAATGACATGATCATAGGAATCCGGAGGTCACACATTGTCTGAATACAAACGATGCTTGAGAAGTACTCAAGAAGTCCGGCAGAGGCCATGCGTGTCATGTATGTATGTATGTACAACTGGTACGTACAACTACTAACTCTGAGCGACCAGACTCCTCGGCACGAGAAGTACCTTTTTCGTCTTTCCTTTCTTGGTCTCGCTCCTCTGACTGGTGCCAATTAAGTCGACGGAAAGAGCGTTGGGGATCCCGGCGAGAGATCCATCTTTACCCACTTGGTACCATACCGGCACCAAAGAATCCCAAGCTTTCAATGGCCCCAAAGATACGATGGGGCTCGTTAATCGGAAACACTTGAAAGAAACACGGAATGACCAGTCCAAACGCCGATACGCTTTGCCTCTATACATCGAAGGCAACTGTTGCTCCAAAGCTAAAAAGAGAATGGGGTATTAGATAGTTCACATAAGGGTGACCACTACAATTGCCTATTTTACATACAATACATCTACAATGAATATTGGGCGACCGTTTCACCGTCATCAGGGTGGCAATCACGAGAGGGTGGCGGGTGCAACTCCTATCCTTCGGGAATTTGATTGATATAGCGGCGATGATTGATTCGCGACAATTTTTAGTCTTGACTTAGGTACCAAATGTGGCTGTAGAGCGCTTTCCGGGGAAGCCCTAGTCAATATTTCGCTAGAGAGAGAGAGCGTGTGAGGTCACCCTATGCGCCCTTGCAGGAGCCTCAGGAGTGTTTCCTGAGGGAAAAAAAAAGAAAAAGAAACAGAAAAAGAACGCATGAAGGAACAAAAGGGAAAGAGATCTCTACGACGAGATCGATGCTCTTTTTCGGGCTTCATGGTGCATGGGTGAGTCCGGTTTTACCCTCCACACGGGTGGATGGTATGCTTACTTTTTCTCTTTGGAGCAGAATCTCGAGTTCCAATCAATCCGGCCGATCGTCGCTGTGGGTATTACACCATTACAGATTGAACTACTACAATACCTTCCCTGAAAAGAAATCAGATCTCAACACGCAGTCCATCTCTGATTCGAGTGGCAGGAGAACTACTAGAGCCAAACTCAAGAAAGAATAGTGAGATTTCATTCCCTTTCTCTCCATTTCTTTGATTTTTTTTTTCTTTTTCCTTTCCCACCTGGGGTCGCCCACCCTTTTAGCATCTTGATTGACTTATTGATTTTCCTCTTCACCAATATACACTATCGAATTCCTAAGCAACATGTACTAAAAAGAGTTGTTCTGATAATTTTTTTTTTTTGCCTCATTTAAGCAATCCCAAATCGAGGAAACGGGCGATTCGGCTTTATTCGTCGTTTCAGTACCCGGAGAAAGAAACAACGGATCTCTTCCATCCAGCTTGCGCAAAGACCAAGCCAACTGGGGCCGCTGAAGAACGGGTGACCAGACCCATCAAACCAATAAGCCACCAGTTTCTCGGTGGAAATCGAGCCCGCTTGACAGGGACTCCAAGTCGAACTGTACCGCGGTCGCTACCGCTGATTTCTTAGCCTTCTTCGACATCGTCAACTGACGGACGGTACCTTGTCCCACTTCCTCTCTGTTTGTGCGTCTCGATTTCTTACGCTTCTTCCTTCCCCCCACATCCCTTTTAGAGCTCTCATTACTCCGTACCTTTACATCTCCCCTCTATCGTCATTTCATGGTGTGAGTAGGACTCCCAGGGTGATACCTCGTGTCTAAACTCAATTCACAGTCGAACTCGGGGGGAAGCAACCCGGATAGATGTATGTACATACTTACCACCAACGGTAAGGGCGCTTGGACGAAGCGAATCCACTTTATCGGAAGTAGTTCGTTTCAAGGCTGACAACGGTCGCAGATGTTCATGGCCGTCATAATAATAACCTAGCCTCTAGACTCATCCAGATCCTAATCCACTGGACCCGTCCGTTCCTTTCTACCATCTTCACGCCGGTCGCATCCCACATAACTTTTCTCTTCACACATTCTCCCAACCAACATGGCTTCCCTGAATGACGGAGTCTTGCCTTTGGAGGTAGAAGCGTTGAATCGACAAAATGATGAACTCAATGGTAAGTGCGTGATGCAGTTGATATCGTATTCGTGGCTTGTTTTTATCTATATGATTTTAAAACGAATCCTGAGGTTTTTCGGGGCCATTCTGTCGCTGGAGATGAAATGCGATCCTGCTAGGCGGAGTGCTTTACTAGACTTCATACATTGTTAACCCAGCTACAAAATGATGTGCTCTTTCACGATGCTTTTCTGTCTTCCTTCCTTTCTTTTCTTTTCTTATCTCTCAGCATGTCGACGTAGCAGACACGGGCTTTGCCTAGCGATCATTGGGTTCCAGTTGCGCTTTGGCGTTGTTTGTCTGATTTGGTCGCTGACTCGAGACCATGATAGGCCGACAATCACAGGGCAGTTTAATGAAAGCGTCCATGGGAACAGAATGGTTTAGGTTTTTTGGAGGTGGACAAAAAAAAGTTACACGAGGTATGCGCCTTGCTTCCTTGGTCTCCAATAGGGTACTGACCTCTGCCGATCCAGATGGTCAACCAGCAAAACGACGGGGCCCAAAACCGGATAGCAAGCCGGCACTTACCAGGCGCCAGGAATTAAATCGTCAGGCGCAAAGGTACGTCGACAATGCGGACTTGGTCTCGTGATTATATACCAACCGTGGAGGTTTAGGACACATCGCGAACGCAAGGAACAGTATATGCGAGCGCTAGAGACTGAAGTCTCACGATTACGAGAGGCCTACACACAAGAGATATCCGCGGCGAATTTGACTGTCCACCAACATCGAGAGATGGTTCGGTCATTATCGGAAGAGAACAATATATTGAAAGAAATTCTAGCCGCACATGGCATCAACTATGAGGCGGAAGTGGAACGTCGCAAGGCGGAACGCACAAGTCCAACAAACGCAACATACCAGTCTAGTCCTTTTGCCAGCAGTGTTGGATCGCAGCCTGCAGCTGTCGCGCAGTCAGCTCCATCAACTCAGCACGCTTACACGACGCCACCCACGACTATCTCAGCCCCATCTTCTAGTTTAAGCCCTATTGTAAACGGGATAGAGCACATCGACGTCTCACCAACCCAAGAGTTATCACCTCACCAAAATTGCAATGCTGCTCCCTGCGATGCCTTAGCCACTCTTGACCGGATAGCACCAGCAAGTCGTCAGCCTAATCAGCCAGCGGGTATCTTTGAAAATGATCCGCAGCTGCAAATCGACTTTATTTTGACGTACGCTCTCCCTCACCTATGTTTTTGCTCCTGGTTTCCCGCCCCTCCATAACTGATCACTTAATAGGCTGGAATCACCATGTCGCGAACATACCGACTATCTCTGTCGACGATCTATTACGGAGGCCGATGATGAAGATATGCCTTTCTCTGGACACGCATTAATGGCTTCCTGTCCGCCACCCAGTTATATTGCCAACACAACCCATGAACAAGCCTACCCACATCAGACATATAATCTTCCACATGCCAATCTGACAACATTGCTCAACCTGAGTCGACAGCTTGTGACCGATGGCCAAATTACACCAATCATGGCCCTTCAATGTTTGAAAAACCATGAAATGTATCGCTCGTTGACCAGAGATGACATAAGGATTATAATCGACACGCTCAACACCAAAGTCAGGTGTTATGGATTTGGAGCGGTGGTGGAAGACTTCGAGCTCATGGACTGTCTGAGCAGTGTCATCGGGACCAGGGTCGAGTTGGGATTCTCCCGCGCCGGAGATGAGACGCTGTATTCATGATACCATGACATGAGTTAATAGTTCTTTTACCCCTGACTTGGGGTGGGGGGGGGGGGTGCATATAGAAGCTCCGGAGCGTTGTTTTCTTTCGGCTATAGGTGGCTGATGCATTGGTGTGGAATCCTGGTGTATATCATTCTTCTGTTGTTTGTTACTCGGCGTTGGCTGAGAATTTTCTTCTCGCATCATCTTTGTAATATTTTGGCCATGAAAAATGGCAGTTGTTTTTCTATAGCTGAACATGACTGTGTGGCATGTTAGGCAGTGCAGTGCTCTGGTTATATCATTTCCCACGCAATCAATATGTATGCATAAGAGATCGGACAAAGTCAATTCAATAATCTATAAACATACAGAAAAGTCATCCTCAATTCCTATATCCCGCGCCACATCCTTCGCTAAATCTCTTAAATCCTCACCATTCCGAATCCTCCCCACGATGTGCCAAACCAGATCCTCCGTTCCTAATCTCAGAGCCGAGTACACAATCTCCATAGCAGCGGCCTCCTCCTCTTCCTCCTCTTCGAGACCATCGAATGATGACCGATATGCCAAACGCTGCGCTATTTGTTCCCGGATTTGGTTCACCTTGCCCCTGAGCTCGGTAATCATTTCTGCCTGCGCGATCGCCTGTCGATCTTCATTCGGAGCACTATACTTGCATTCCTCCTGGATTCCTCGTGTAGTGCAGGCTTCACACGGAGACAGGCGATTACACTACAAAACGCCTGTAAGTGGACGTCAAGGCAAGGGGGTGGTGGGAGGAGGAGGAGGAGGAGGAGGAGGAGGAGGAGGAGGAGGAGGAGGAGGAGGTAGGGGGGGTACGGCATCGTATCTGAAACAACACATACCTTCACTTTGCGAGTTCGACAAGGGTGACATGAGGCCGTGGCCCGGGGCTTGGATTTGTGGCTCGTTGCTACGTCCATGGTATTATTTCCCATCATTCTATTTTTGGCTTTTTTCTTGCCAAAAAAAAAAAGAAGAAAAAAATTTCAACTTGTCATTGTTTGGACAAAAAGAGACTGGTATGATCTTTAGTGGTAACAATGCATGCAACAGTAATCTCCCATTCTACTAATTAAGCTCGATCCACCCTGATTAGAGCCGTTGTTCCCGTGAAGCATGATGACTAAGAAATAGCCGTTTCAGATCTTTATTTTCTCCGAGTCTTGCTTTTTTTATTTCCCGATTATCGTTTTTGGTAATCACCTGGCTTTTTGCGTGTGGATCTACGGAGTACGGAGTATTCCGTATCCTTTGTTCCCCCGTCTCTTCTTTATTTCCCCCCCCCCTTTTTTTTTTTCTTTACCCTGTACTTACCTGAGCAAATGTCGGTGTGTCCGTCGTTGCAGGCCGAATGTATCAACCCTGATGTTATGGGTAGTCTAATATCGGCGGAATGATCGTGAAACGTTCACACTGCTTAGATTAATTACCCTACTTTGTCAGCTCTACGTTACTTGTCTAACAAGTTGGCTTCATGATGGTTGTTGCCGTAGTACACAGTGCGTATGTACGTAAATATGCTACCACCGGGTCATAGCCATGCTCAGGCAGGTGAAACAAGGTAGTAGCGTCTCGTCTTCTTTCCTGCTACTGGGCGGGTCTTAATCGCAAAGTCTTAAGTGCTGATTTGGAATCGGCGTGAGAATAAGGGATTCATGGAATGAGTAACGGGCAGTGGGATACTGTTGAGAGTACAGTGATCATACTTCCAAGAAACGATAGGTATTATGAGTACGGGGTGTAGTTTGGAGAGCAAGCCCTTCTAGAGATGCTAGAAAGTCATCAAATCGGTTAAGGACATCAACGGTCATGTTCAGAGCTCTAAAAGACTTTTGAATATGTTCACCAAAAAGTATCCGGAAATTCGAAAGAAACATCATGACATTATGATATCATGGCAGGAATAAACTCAATCATAAGCAATTTACTCCTCATCCTCCTCGGCCTTCTGCTCCTCTTCCTCAGCGGCAGCCTCCTCATCCTCCTCAAAGGTATTGGCTGGCACGCTGTAGAGACGGAGAACGGGACGGTTGGGGTCCTTGATGAGAACGTACTTCTTGACCTTCTCCTCGTCCTCCTCGGCGTCCAGGGCGCGGATACGGTCGACAATGGTGCGCACAATACCCCAACCGTTGCCCAGGTTCAGGTTCATCTGAGCGGCGAGATCACGAGGCTTGTAGCCAACAACACCGAGGACAACATGGCCAGCGGCGGAGCGGGGGTTAGCACGAGAGACGAAACCGAGCTTCATGGCGTCGGCCTTGGCAAGGACGGCCTGGGTGGTCCAACGGGCAAGCTTAAGGCTGTTGTTCTTCATCTCAGTGGCAACAACGGCACCGCGCTGCGACCAGAGCTTGCTGCGCCAGTCCAGAGCATTACCGGAGCCCTGGGCCTTGCTGTCGAACTCATTCAGCGCCTTGACGATCAGCTGCTGGTCTTCGCCGTTGACGGGGTTCTTCAGGAGGGCGTCGACCTCAGTACGGACAACCATGTTCAAAGGCTCCTCGTCACGCTCCAAGGAGAGATCGAAGCGGCGGTACTTGTAGGCCTTGGAGGCAAGAGGCTCGGTCTCCTCAGAAGCATTGTAGAAGGGGTTGGCGTTCTTCATTTCCAGCTTGGCATCCTGGGACTCGGCGACGGTTTGCAGGGCAAAGTTGTGGTTGATGAAAGTGGCTTCCATGGCAAGAGCGCTGGGAGTGTTGATGGACTCCTGCTTACCCGAAGATTCGGCAAGCTCGAGAGGGGCGTCAATTGCATTCTCGTTGACGGTTACCAAGTCGAGCGAGGCACCCTCACGCTTGTCGAAGTAGATCTTGTTGCCCTGGTGCACGATAACAATATCCCAGGAGTAGACACTGCGAGGGGCACACATAAGCATGGACAGGATATCGGAGGTAGCGAAAACGGTGGCAGTGTCCTTCTCGGCGAGCTCCTGGATGACAGGGTCCTGGGAGGTAGTAACGTTGTAGGCAGCACGGTCAAGAGACTGCAGTCTACGCTCGGCACCCTTAACAGGGGCCTTGTCGTAAGAACGGTCGTAGTAGTAGAGGAAACCATACGAGTCGATGTCCTCGCCATCGGGGGTCTCTAGGTTCAGCTTCAGCAGACGGCTGAAGTCCACTTCCTCCAGCATAGTCCAGTCGGGGCGCACATTGACGGACGGCTCACGAGTCCTCTGCGGCTTGTCGTAGTCCTTCCATCCGAAACGACGTCCACGGTTGCTGCGGCCGGCACGGTTGTCGTAGAAGCGATCGCCCTGGCCACGGCCAGCACCAACACGCTGGAAGCCAGCACGGCCACCTCTCTGGCCCGCGCCACGCTGGGCGCGGCCGCGGAAGACGGTGCCACCACCACGGCCAAAGGTGCGCTTGGCAGAGGTACGAGTGTTGTCAACGACTGAGAAGGAAGATTCATCTTCAGCAGCCTGGATGCTGAACAGGTTGGAGGAACCGGCTCCGTACACTTGCTGGTCTGTTGATGATTGGTATGTTAGCTGCGGACCCGCATTTAACTGTCTAGATTAACTCATACCCCTGAAGTTGCGGTTATAGGCCTGACGACCACCTCTTTGGTCCTTAGACTCGGAAGTCCAGTCGGCCATGCGACCCAATTTGTCACCCTTAGAGAAAGGAGCAAATGGGACACCCTCAAGCATATTGTCGGTCGAGGTCGCGGGGCCCCAAGTGTCCTCCGCTGGCAGGGCCGCCACAATGTCGGCGATGGAAATGGGTGCCATGATGTCCGGAGATGATAATAAACCCAGAAATCGATTTCTGAAGAACAAGGTATCTCCGCGCAGACGTCAGGGTATCTCGGCGGATGGTGAGATCACAAGCGGCGGAGAAATTGATAATTGCGGGTTGAGTTTTTGTGTCGCGAGTGGGCTTGTGGCTAGAAGGCTTGGCTTGGTCGGCTCTGCACCGCCACATCACGTGTGTATATACCGCGTTGTGTACACTTGGAAGAGAAAGGAAATAAACATGGAGAGCAAGAAGTTCTAAAGAAAGAAAGAAAATCTTTCTAAGCTCACAGATATTCAAATTTGATTTTCACTGGAAGATACAAGCCAAAGCTAGTAGTTTCCTTTCTACTTACACACCATCAGCCAACCCCAGAGATACAGAAAAAAGCCACAAACAGATCAAATCCGTATAGTCAAGTGCAGTAGCAGTCTTCTCATTAGGTTTATTTAGTGATATTTTGCGCAGCAAACTTGTTTGGGATAACAAGAACTGAATGAGAACCAGTGTGGTGGAGGTGGGACTTTGTGATATGTGTTATCTCTGAAGTCGGCTTGAAGTATAGTCTTTAGTTCTTTCATCTTTACGTAAAGAGGTCTGGATCTACAATGCTTATCAGGGTATAAGATAGCAAGGGGAAGTTAGAAACTCAAATTATAAGGATACTCAGGAGCTGCAGGTTCAATTGTTAATGACGCTTTGATCGAACAAGATCTCAGGGGCGAAGAAATACGATGACACATTAATATACGGTCCTTATCAATGCTCTGTCGCCTTCCACACCACCGACTAGACTATTAAGGGTCGCCTGGTAAAGACCAACGAGAGCGGCCTATCTCCCTTGCTCTAGCTAGTACTGCTCCGCCATCCTGGAGATGCACAGATGGTTTCCCCTCGCTTCTGGGGCTGGATGCTGATCATCGGGCATGGCGTTAAGTCTGATTGGAGCTAATGCGAGGGCTCCACTGATAAGGAACTGATGCTTTATTGTAGTACTGTAGTACTACGGAGTAGTTCCTTAGGGCTTGGCCAACGAACTATACGGAATAGGTAAGGTAAGATTTGGTTCCGGCTTTCGTTCTGACCTCCATTCTCTCCGTAGTACCTATCAAATTGTAGGATAATTTATACCATATGACCTATTCCACCGGAAACACTTCTGTCCCTGCATGGAGATCTCGATAGTGCTGGGATCTACGAAGTATCAGGGCACATTCTTACATACATCCCATGGGACTTAGTTAACTCTTATCAAAGTTGAATAGTTTGTGGATCAAGACCCCATCTGGGAAATCATCTGCCTCTGGAACTTCACTTTGGGCCTAATCTTTTGCTGAATGCCGACTGCTGAAGCTGACCTCTCAGCTCATCCGAGATAACGACTCTTGGAATACCATTGGACTATCATGTCTTTTCCTTTGGATAGGACGGACGTAGCTGAAGAGCTCTACCCGAGGGTTCGCTCTCAATCTCGAATATAAAAGGTGACCTGAACCCTTTCAGATACTTCCCTAGAACATCTTCCATCCAGTAAACCAGCAGACTCAGACTTGAAGGCTACTTCCTCATCTCTCTATCTATTTTCTCAAGTAAGACTTTTTCACTGCCAAATACAATGAAGTTCTCTACCGCGCTCTCCTTCTTCATCTCCGGCGCAGCCATCGCTTTGGCTCTTCCTTCCTCCGGCGAAATTGTTGAGGCCGACTGTGTCAAGCCATACCTGTGCTGTGGCGAGCTCAAAACACCTCTTGATCCTATAGTTGATCCGATTTTGAAGCAGTTAGGAATCAACGCTGCAAGCATTGTGGGTTCCATTGGCCTGGCCTGTAAGCCTCTATCCGCCACGCGTGTCTTCATAGGAAAGATTAGACGAAGGTGGTACATATCTCTAACCAATCCATGTAGGTCATGCCTGGGATGACTCTTGCGAAGCTGGGCCTAAGTGCTGCACTGAAGCCAACCTCTTGGTAAGTTCTTTCCGAGAGGGCAAAAGAAAAGTAAAGACAGAAATGTCTCGTCTAACATACATTTATAGGGTGGCACAGTCGCTCTTGGGTGCTCGGACCTCGTCACTGAGAACTAGGATTATGGAAATGTTGGCGAGCTATCAACGCGGATAGAGTGGTTCTACTGTACATCTGGGGTGAATGAGATGATGCCGAATTGCACCTGGTATAATTATATCTAGCTTTCTTTGGATGGGATGTTACCTGTCTAACTACTGACTTGTTTATGTTAAACTTCTAATATCATACTACGCCAAATCAAGTTCTCTTTCTTCAAAGTTCGATGGATTGTTCGCCATTTGAATATCTTAATCCTCTTTCTTTACATGTTCGACGCTGCTGATCAAGTAGAGGAAAATACTGCACAAGTCAGACGCAATGCCACCACCTTCCAAGAAGCTGGGGAAATACTGCAACAGTGGTGCCATAGCAGACCACAGCCAACGGAAGCAGTGGGAGATAATTCTGAGATAATGGCAAAAGTATAGGTTAGAAAAATGGCAACAGAAGATAGTCAAGTATGCCAGAAGAGGTTCATTGCGAGGGAGAGGTGCAGCAATTGAACCTATATCGAGACCACTTCCTAAAACGTAAACTGGGTGTTTCCTGCCGAGGAGCTGCGTTTCCGCCGTGATAAAATTTCGATCTCCATGGATGCAATGTTTTTGGCAGAGCCCTCAAAATGAGAATCAATATGCCAGGCTCAATAGCTGGTTTCACATACTGCGTTGTTCCGAGCCTAATTGCCCTACGTCTAGATGTTTGCCGAGGTAGCACTTCGCTACCTTCCGATCTCGATCTTGTATCGACGTTATCGCTCGTCGCAAATGACTTCTCCATCAATGACATAGGGATCTCACAGAGAGTCTCCTCAATATTGTCCAATGTCGCACAAATCAAGAACCGTAAAGATTCAAGGACCCATTCTGTGCAGTCTGTCTGGACCAGACTTGGTTCAATCTTCACGAATAACGCCACCGATATCTTAGAATTTGCAAACGAAATCACCGCATCCGGCCTGATACCTTCCAGAGTACTGGCATGGCTGAATGGCTACGCCACTATTGACCTCGATACAATTCACCGGAACAACCCATCCCCAGAAAACTTGAGTATATACCCATACAAAGCAAAAAGTGATGCGCCGTACTCCGTTGCGGAAAATACTCTCCGGGCAGCCATTCACATTCCCAAGTCATTCTCACTCGAACAGGACAAGAAATTACCGGTGCTTCTGGTACCAGGAACCGCTGTTCCTGCAGCCATAAACTTCTATTTCAACTTTGGCAAGTTGAGTAAAGCCTTACCCGAAAGCGATCTAGTTTGGGTCGATCTTCCTCAGGCCTCGTTAGACGACATTCAATTAAATGCCGAATATGTCGCCTATGCGCTCAACTATGTTTCCGCTTTGACATCATCCAATATTGCCGTGATTTCTTGGTCCCAAGGTGCACTGGATATTCAGTGGGCACTGAAGTACTGGCCCTCCACCCGAAACGTAGTAAATGACTTCATCGCTATCAGCCCCGACTTCCATGGAACAATAGTCAGGTGGATGGCATGCCCCCTATTGAGCCAGCTAGCATGTACTCCTTCGATTTGGCAGCAAGGGTGGGATGCAAACTTTATACAGGTCTTGCGAAGCAACCGGGGAGACTCTGCGTATGTTCCTACGACCACCATTTACTCTTCCTTCGACACGGTAGTGATGCCCATGAGTGGGGAGAATGCGTCTGCTCGGCTACTGGACCACAGCGGAGTGGGCGTATCCAACAATCATTTACAGACCATCTGCGCAAATAAGGCCGCTGGTGGTCTCTATACGCATGAAGGCGTGTTGTACAATCCTCTTGCGTGGGCACTTACCGTTGATGCACTCCGTCACGATGGGCCTGGCAATATTACGCGAATCGACATCCAAAAGATCTGTGAACAATTGCTTCCACCGTTTCTCGACCTCAGTGATATGCTGGGAACGGAAGCACTCGTTCTTGTAGCCCTAGCAAAGATTCTTACGTATTCCCCAAAAGGCTTCGGTGAACCTGACATTGCCGAGTATGCATACTTATCAGGCGATCAAAATTAGGATAACCAAGGATAATGAATTACAGTTCGTTCCATATATGATTCTCCGAAACTCTTGATTAACTCCTAAGATCTCACCATCCGCTTTGGAGGAGAGGGAAAAAGGACCGGTTAAAACTCTCTTTCAAGATGATTTGAAATACAAAGGATGGGCTAAAAACAGCGACCAACTCCAACCGGCCGTATTGATATGGAAGAACGCTGTGCTGTGGTTACGATGGTGTAGAGTATAGGGTTGGGTTTGAAATTCCAACGTGGAGCTTAGATGGGCTTACGCAGATCCTTGATGTCCGATCGTTAACATGAGAATTGTTAGACTTGCATCTCCTATGAACAAACCCCAATCACTGATTCTAGTAGTTTGGACTCTCGTATGTACCCTGTGCCTCTGGGGAGGGAGGGAGGGATTCATACGTGCTTCAGATTGTCTTGCGCTTATCAACTCCGTAAACAAGGATAGTTCGAAAGAAAGAAAGAAAGGACTTTTTAGCAACTACTACTACTACGGAAGGACAATTCGAATCAAAGCTCATGTGTGGACTCGGGTAGGGAGCGAAGGAGCCCACTTTATCTGCTTCTCTGGGACATTCCGGTTGTCGATCCGCTCCAAAAACGCTGAGATCTTTGGACCAGGTGGAAATTGCCGAGAAATCACGGCACTCTGCGCCGGACGGGGAATTGAGTTTCGTCGTCTGCAATCTCTTTTGCTCACACTGCCAGCAGAACTGACAGCGCAGGATCAATTGACCTCTGCTATTGTCCACCATTCAATCATACTTGAGGATTGAACAGTATTAGCAGGACATGACGACGCTCAGGAGGACACCACGTCTCCGGAAATCGACCGTACGCATTGAATCCACCGTCTACTCCGTGGTTCAAGATCCTGTTGGCTGGCCAGCGCCTCGTCCAGTACCGCCAAGGCTCGATCGTCAGCTCCCATCTCAGCACTTACGTTGTCACTGGCCATTCGAACCATCTTTATGGAGATGCTCCATCGAAGCCAGCCCTCTTTGTGGAGTGCTTTAGCCTATTCTTCTCCTTTTTTCCGGGATTTTTTTTTTTTTTTTTTTTTTTTTCTTTTTTTCTTTTTTTTCTTTACGTAGTATCATGTTGTCTTTATATGTGCCCGGACTCCGTACGGACTAACCCCAGGACCTCCGGGCAAAGAATGAACTCCCTACTCCTATAGCTCAAACAAGCGTTGACAGACGACGACGGCGACTATGCTTATAACCTGACTATATTCTGGATGAACTTGTCTCTCCTTTTGTCGTCCTCTCGTTTGTTAGTTTTTAGGAGAGCACTCCTAGTCGCTCATTCAATATGATTTTCTTCTTGGCCTTGGTTTTTCTCTGCTTTCGTAGTATTGTCGCAGCATCTGATGATGATTTTATGTCCTTCGTGACAGTTCGTATGCCCGATGATCCTTGACAGTAAGCTGCTGACAGACCATAGCTCCCACAAGTGAGGGCGTTGAAGTTCGATATCACCTACTATGACCGCGACGCCGTAAGCTCGGGCTACTGGTTCGTTGCGCCTTATAGCTTAATTGACCCAGAGCCCCCGACGAAGCAATGGAAGCCGTGCCAAGTCGGGCCCTACATATACGATGCAGACGGTGTACGTTCACCTGAAATGGACTGCTTGTGATCTGCCAGATTGCAAGAAAAACGCTGACTCGCATTATCTATCCAGACTCTCATCTGGGCTGGATCGTGCCTATACGATAACCGCAATATCTTCGATTTCAAAGCGGTGCCTAACATTGATGGCGGCTCCCACTTGTCATTTATCTTGCAGCATACATTTCAGTTCGAAGGCGATGAGAAGGGAACTGCATATGTTTTGGATCAGCATTATGAAACGGAAAAAGCAATCCCGGTGACCAATGACCTTGCCGCATTCAACATGCACGAATTCAACGTCCTTGACGGCGGAAAGACGGCTCTAGCTTGCACGTATCGAAGCAAGTACATGAACTTGGGTGCCCTTGGTCGTCCCGATGAGTACAGCTGGGTTTTCACCGGTGGTTTGGTTGAGCTGGACACAGCTACGGGTGAGGTGCTTTTTGAATGGGACTCCGAAGGCTACATCCCTCTTGATGAATCTGTGAAATTGGACCCATCGACACCAGTTGCCGACCCGCCTGGTTGGGATTACATTCATGTGAACGCGGTCGATAAGAATGCTGCTGGCGACTATATCCTCTCAGCCCGATTCACGAACACTATCTATCTCATCTCCGGGAAGGATAAAAGTATCATCTGGCGGCTTGGTGGGGAAACGTCGGATTTCGTCCAAGATTTCACTTTCTCCAAGCAGCACCATGTGCGCTTTATCGAATCCAACGCCACACACACGACCATCTCGTTCCTCAACAACGCTTCGGACGAGATCGAACAGGGAGAAGACACCTCAAGTGCTCTCTACGTGCAGCTCCACACCAGTGTTTCCCCGATGACCGCAAAGGTCATTGCGCGATACAACCGTCCGGACGGAGACCTTACTCGGCTGCGCGGAAACGTGCAAACACTGCCCAATGGCAACGTCTTCGTGGGTTGGAGTGAACGGGGATACCAATCTGAGCACTCCCCCGAGGGTAACGTACTTATGGAAGCCCGTTTTGCTTCCTCTCGCTTCTCCACCTACCGGTCGTACAAATTCGACTTCACTGGTCGGCCCAATACCCCGCCGGACGTAGTCTCGTCCGTCTATGGAACAGACGAAACCGATCTCACTACCATCTTCCACGTGAGCTGGAACGGCGCAACGGATGTTGCTTCGTGGAATTTCTACGCACGTGCGAATCAGGACGGGATGCCTGTGCTGGTAGGCAACACCACCAAACTCGACTTCGAGACGATGTACATTGCGGATGGTTACCTGGACTGGGTCTCCGTGGAAGCAGTGGACAAGGACGGAAACGCTCTGGGGACCTCTGAGATTCAACGGACCGAGCCCCCGAGTAACTGGCGACTTGCCGGGTTCCAAGGCAATACCATGCCAACACCCCACGACCCATCGGATCTCCATGAGCACAAAACCATTGCTGTTGACGATGACGCCGATGACGCCGATGACGCCGAAGAAGTTTACGTCAAGGCTCAAGAGGCGGCCGAATCCATCTACAAAGCGTGGGAGGTCATCCGCGGAGTCGGGGGCCTTCTCATCTTCGTTCTAGTTCTATGCTCTACGGGCGGACTTCTGGCAGGCATGTACTGGTATTTCCGGCGGCGTAGTATGCAGGCATACCACGAGGTTGCCTCCGAGGAAAGCCAGCCATTGAACGAACGGTCTACTTGAACGTGATTCTATCACCAAGAAAGCAAAAGAGAAACCATGTCTATGGCGAATGCTTAGCGGTTCGTATACACGGCATATTGCAAAGCGTCCACTGCATATCTCTGGCGTTGTATCTTTTTAATGTTGTACTCTATAATCTGTCTCTATCCCGCTCCCCCCCTCCGTTTCTTTTTCCTTTTTAACGATTTACGTATACATCGAGTCTATACCTGGATGCAAATCAAAGTTTAGTCATAGAACTGATGCATAATTGCTTCCTATCGCAGGGTCTCTTTCTGTAGTTCCTCCAAGGAAACCGGGGGGGGGAAGCTAAAGGACAAAAAGAAGCATTAAATAGAAAAACACAATCTGTAACGATGAACGTGCAGTATTGTTAGCAGATAACCTTCCCTAAACCATTTAGCAGGGAGTTACCGCTGCCATTCTTGTAAAAATGCAAATAAAACTACGTCCGGATAACGCCCAAATGGCTAAACCACTAACTTCAAGATCTTTTTTGCTTTAATCGGTCCCATCAATTCCTTCGCTAGTCGTTCATCTTCTCGAATTTGAAACATCTTCGGTTTCATCATCTTCTGCTCCAGAGCGCGTGCCACAGACCGAAGTTTGTCGTCTTGAAACCTTTTCATTTGAAGCTGAACGCCCGCATAGTCTAAGCCTCCGTCGTAGTGGCCGAACAGCAGAAGCGGCATAGACCAGGGCTCGCCTATTTTCAGTCGGATGGGCCAGTCGTAAATGGCTAATCTGACATGTAGCACCTTCAGAGAAACACAGGCTGATGCCATCTCATCACAGGCAATGTACCAAGCAATGTCACTGCGGATCTTGAATGTGCGAAACGCCATCAACCGCGGCTCATTGTACATGATGTGACTGAGCTCTACATGACGGACAGCAGCCTGGTGATCCTTGGATGTGGTTCTAAGAAATCGCATGATGGAATTCGAGGAACTGAATATGAACTGCGCAGTCGAGTATAGCAGAAGAACTGCCTCGCAATAAATAGTTCGACATGTAAAGACAAGGCCAAATAAGAATGGCGTCGGCCTGGTGCGGTGGCCATTACTAACAACTGCCTGCGTAGATGGGCTGCGAGGCTTCTGCTGGCGATGGTAAAGCCTATAGCGAGCTGGCCTAGACGTATCGGTGTTCTTATCCTTGCGACGGAGAATTTCTACACGATGCGGTTCGAAAAGGTACTGGTAGATCTCCCAACGTATCTCTGCAGGAAGGCCCAAGAGCGATGCGGGCTTTGCCAGTACCTCGGGGGAATTGACTTTCTTTCCAGAAACTAACGGTTTGCTGTCTTGTACTTTTGGCGCAGAAATTGAGCATTTAGGAGCGGGTTGGGAGAACAGAATCCTTGGTACTGGTGTTGGGTAGTCCGCCTTTTGTCGTTTAGTGTCGGTTTTTGAAGCCAGTGGAGATCCAGGCGCATGCTTGCTATTGGTATGCTCTTGCTTGTGTCTAACAGGCTCTGGAGTTTCCGTACCGTGTGCATGGTTTCGCGGTGATGAACGGACGGCGTCCAGCTTCTGAGGGTGGTTTCTTTTTCTTGTGTTTGACGCATTCGCTGGAGTCTGGGTGGTTTGCGGCGAGTGAGGGTTGATATTCTCCTGGAATTTTTATTCAATAGAAGCTAGAGGCGAGGTATAATATGTATCTTACCATTTGGCTTGCACGAGAGCGAGCTCTTCCAATATCCCGAGTCTATTCCGTTGGGTTAGGGCTAACGGTCGATGACGATGATGTTTAACTCACATTGGAGCGAGAAGCATCTTTTTCAAAATGCGAAAAACCAGAGCCATTTCCAAGAGCTTCTTCAGGTTGGTCAGGAGAGCTTTGATCCTTTTTACCCTTGCCTCGTCGATTGCGAGATGCTCGATTGTTTCGACGGCCACGCCTCGCTGAGTCTGCCATGGTAGTGGCGTATGATTAGATAGGTGAGAATTTCGAATTGGGTGAGTCAAGTGTATTCTGAAATATCATAGAAGTGACTACTGGATTTGAGAAAAGGCAGATGGCATAGACGTTCAGTATGATACACGAGGAAATGGAAGGCATTCATGTAAATGGTCCTTGAGTGGTGAGGTATGTATATGAGTACCAGTCAGAATAGAGAGGTGAAAGATACAAGTGACAATCATGTCCAAAAAACTAGATACAGGGTCCTAAATGCCCTATTGAGGTTCAATGAGAACAATTTGTTCAACAGTGAATGAACACCCGCTATACATCTTTTGTGTATACTTCACATCGTTCATTGTGTTATTTACCATACCGATTTATTACACACTATTCCCTATGTGGAAAGCATTTGAACCCGATCCTCCAGGCATCTTGTCTGTGTTTTTCGTTTCTTCTTTTTCGGAACTATCTTTTCTAACTAGTCTCTCTCACTCTTCCAATTGCTCTCTTTAAGTCTAATATAATACTCCTCGATCCCTCTTTTCCAGATGTCTCCCTGCTCTGGCGTCCTCCGCAATTCCGCCCTCCCAATTCGCTCCCGTGTGGCCTTCTCTCTCAATCAACCCGCAAGATCATCAACCCGACCCCACCACCTCCGGCAAGAACAACACCACCGCCCCTATTCCTCCTCCTCTTCTCCCAACTCCTCGCAATACAACCGCTCCCAATTCAAAATCCTCCCGTTCCTAGCAATCATTGGTATCGGTTCAGGATCCTACATCTTCCTTGTCAAGTCCCGTACTGGCATTCACAAACCGAAACCCGACTCTCAGTCTCCTGATTCCTAAATTACCTTATCCCCCCCCACCCCCTAAGGACTTATCTACTCTCCGACTAAAAGAAAGATGGCCGACACTAAACGTCCCACCCCTCGCTTCTCGCCTTCCGAAGTCACGGTGGTCTTCCTCCTCGGCGGTCCCGGAAGTGGCAAGGGCACTCAATCCTCCAATCTCGTCCGCGACTACGGCTTTGTCCATCTGTCGGCGGGTGATCTGCTGCGCGCCGAGCAGATCCGTGAGGGAAGCCAGTATGGTGAATTGATCAAGACTTATATCCGGGAGGGCAAGATCGTTCCGATGGAGATCACGGTGGCGCTATTGTCGAATGCAATGGCAGATGCCTTGAAGAACGGTGCTGGTGCTGGGGAGGGCAAGAAGGCCCGGTTCCTGGTCGATGGGTTCCCGCGCAAACTGGATCAGGCTTTTTTCTTCGAGGATACGGTCTGTCCCTCGGAGTTGACGCTGTTCTTGGACTGCCCGGAGGATGTTATGGAGAAGCGCTTATTGAAGCGTGGAGAGACTTCCGGTCGTGATGACGATAATGCTGAATCTATTCGGAAGCGTTTCCACACGTTTGTTGATACCAGTATGCCTGTCGTGGAGGCTTTTAAGGAACAGAATAAGGTTGTGTCTGTGTCGGCTACGGGGTCTGTTGACGAGGTGTATGCTCGTATCCAAGAGGGCTTCGAGAAGCGTGGGGTCCATCAGCAGTAAACTATGTCTATTTATAATGTGTGTCGGTGTCAGCGATCTTTATATTTTTCTTATTGGGGGTGTAGCTAGCGCTTTATAGATGGTGTCTTTCTCCCTTACATACAATGTCTACCTACGTCTCAAAGGACAATGTAGCCGGTTTATGTGTGCATATATATGCATAGATATAGATATATGTGAAGACATAGTCCCAATTTTATATCACTTCGTATATGCATGACATGACTCGTGTCCATTGATCGGGCCCAATCCTAACTACATGCCAGGCGGAACCTGTCTAGAAACAAATAGCTACCATGAACCGATAAAAATGTCGCCCGGAGAGAACACATGAACCAAAGAATAAACAATCGAAAGAAAATGAAAATACAACATAACACCTCTTCCCAGCCATTACACGACGAACTTTTCTATACTTCTTTTCCCTTTCCAATGAGTATCGTGGTGTTTTCTTCTTAGAGTTGATTACTCTGCGGCTGCCACCTCCTGCGGCTGCTGTTGCTGCTGAGATTGTTGGTTGTTGCCATGGCGCTGCCGACGATCTCCAGACTTGTTACCCTTGTCGTTCGACTTGCCTTGGGCAGCTTCCTCTGCTGCTGCAGCGGCCTGCAGGCTTTCACGAACGAAACGCTCCCGCTCGCTACGAAGGACGCCCAGAACGTTCTCGAGGCTGCGACGCCAGACCATCAAGCGACCCTGCACTTCCGCCCACTGCTTCTCGCCGAAAACACGGTAGGTGGCGCGATGTACCAGGAATTCGGAGCGCAGCTGAGACAGCTTACCCTCGACCAGACCAGCACGGATTGTATCGATGACCCACTTCTCAACATCTTCGGCCGGCACACGCAGAGCCGCGGCGATCGTGGCATAGGGCAAGGAACGGGAAGGGGTCGAGGCGGCCAGAGAGGCCAAAGTCAACAGACGCATCTTGTTCTGCAGCGCCTCACCAGCGTCAGCCAGCACACCACCGGAGATGCCCGCCAAGGGAGTGGCGGTGATAAAAGCCTCGTAAGCGTCGAGGGTGTCGGCCGTGAAGATCTCAAGAAGCTCAAACAGGGTGCTGTCGCTGGAGCGAAGAGCCTGAACGGCGTCCGAGGCCGTCAGAGGGGTGAAGTCGAACACAGCGGGGTGGGTGAGAGCGGAGGTGAGAGCGCGGATGGCGAGGTCGCGGGCCTCCTTGGATGAAGCCTGCGCAGCTGGAATGGTCTGCAGAGCCTGCACAATATGAGTCTGCGCCAGCTCCTGGTCGCCCGCAGCCTGAGCGGCATCTGCAACGGCGAGGTGCAGGCGCTGAGCCTCTTCCTCATCTAACTCCCAGGAGGACAACCAGGTGGGCAGCTGAGCGGTCAACTGAGGCTTGAGGGCTTCGAAAGCGACCGAGGAGCCGGACTGACGAATGACTGCGACAATACCCAGGAAGACATGGAAGCGGCTGGAGTCGGTGGGAGCGAGAGTGTTGAAGATGGTGGAGAGGATAGAGATGGCCAACGAGGGACCGAACTGGGCGGAAGAGGTGATTGGTTTAGCGAGGTAAGAGCAGATGCGGGAGAGGAACATGTCAGGGTCTGAGGCGTAGTGAATAAGATGGACGAGAAGGTTATAGGCGGAGATGATCTCTAATTATTGGCGTGTCAGTTTCTGTTCTGCCATGCAGCCTGATATCCCGATCCTTCTCGCTTGGACGATATGTTGGAGGGACAACCCACCCTTCTCTGGAGCATTGTTCAACACGGATGCCGCCGAGACCAGCTTCTTGAGAACCTCATCACGCTGTTTCCGATCGGGCTCAGCGTCACTCTGTTCCTGCTGGCGGAGGGGTTCCAAGAGCGGGGAGATTTCGGCCTGAATGGTGGTGGTGCTGCCTTCGGTTTTGCGCAGTGCGTCGAGGTACTGGGCGAACTCGTCGGCGAGTTCGCTGAAGGAGCCCTCGATGAGGAGGGTAGTAGTGGGTGCGGGCATTCTGATGAGGGACTGTAAGGATGACAGGCAAAAGGAGTAAAAAGGAGGGAGAGAAGGGGAGGAAAGCGAGAGTTGAATTCCGTCGTGGTTGTGGTTGGTTGGCGGTGGAGAAATTTCAGTGTGGGAAAAAGTCTTGGCGCGAATTACGATGGATCAGCGTTTATAGTGACGATCTATAGTAGATTCTTGTATATACTCAAAAGAAACCAAGCGTTTCTATCTCTACATTTATGACGGTCCCTTTCCGAAACTTAATGGCTTGTTGGCGAGTCTTCAGAAAATCTCAAAGAGCGACTATTATTCTTCCATATGGACTATCATCGATTAAACTCGTGAAAGGAATGACTGAAGGCACGCACAGAACGATACAGCTCATTAACCGCGACGCAAAAGCAGGGGAATAGTACGACAACGGTAGGTCATAGACACAAAGCGAGTTAGGGGAGGGGAAAAAAAACCATCAAGCACAAATTTTCCTCGAGACGGATCAGAGCGGCGCATTTCATAATCAGGACTTGATCAAGCCTTCCGCAGTGCAATCCGAAACTACCATCTTACAGAACGAGACGGAGACCCAAGAAGAGTACCGTTGCTAAGATTCCTGTCGCATGGTCCTGGGCCATACGCACAGCGGCATTAGCGGTTGTGCTGCTTGTGCTGCTACTGCTCGTCGCGGTGCCGGTGGATGAGCCTTCGCTGTTGCTAGATCCCGAAGAACCAGTCGAGGTAGGCAAGGATGTGCTAGTGGTAGTCGATGAAGACGAGCCAGAGGCATCGGACGCATTCTTCGAACCACACTGGCTTTGGGCCTTCTTACACTTCTCGTCGCCGTCAAGGTCAGTGGAGCGCTCGATGCACTGGCGGTAGTTCTCCTGGCAGACAAAGAAGGGGATAGTCTCCGCGTAAGATGCGACGTCAGCATCGGTGCCATTGGAGCATGAGCAAGTGAAACCAAGAGTTTGCTGTGCCTGTTAGCTTCTCCAGAGCTCTCTAACGCCGTGGTGTGTGGTTTAAACATACCGGGTCGCAAGTGTTCTTATCAGCAACTCCGCCGCAGATCTTCGGGCAGGCGTTCCGCTCGGCCTGACACCAGGCAGCTGAGAATACTCATTAGTTTTTCTGTGGACTGGTGATCATGCCATAGACATGTTGTATCACGACCGAGACGAGAACCTACACTTATCCGCAGGTTTCACCTGGTTCAGATCGAACCCCTCAGGGAAGGTATAGTTGCTGGCGGTGGTCACTGCAGTAGCGGAGGCCACCAAAGTGGAGAGAAACACGATCGGCAACATAATGGTCGTGGTTGGGGCTGGGTGGTGTATGTTAATGTATGGATAGGTAGTAATGAAGTCCTCAATCGATCAGTAAATCAATGTAATGGGCCAGACGCAAAAAGCAAGTGAAGAATGGGGAGAGAAGCTGGGGGGAGGAGAGGGAAACAGTTGCTGGAAGGGAAAAGGAATTGGCAGGAGATAAAAAAGAAGGCACAAGGGGGGAAACAAGGAAGAGGAAAGAAGTGGAAAATTTAAGCCGGGGGAGGTATTTATCTGCAGTGACAGTAGTGTAGCAACGGTATAGCTGCTAAAACAAGTCACTAACCGCTGGGAAAGTACTATTGAATGGGTATTTGTTTATATCGCAAGCGGGGGTGACACGCTAGGGACCAGGCAATGAGACAGAAAACGATTCCTTATGGTACCTACTCCGGATTCCTACTCATGAAGAATCTCCTATTGGCATTGTTATTATTATTATTAGCATAATGATTACTTATAATTATTGGTTTAAATTTTGACTGAATTCAATATTCCTTCTGGAATAGGAATTGAAGTGAGAGAGAATAACAATAGAAAAATGAAGCAAATATTCTAGACATTTTACTCTTGTACACACCACATACAGTATTCGAGTCCCCTTTTTTTTCTCTTTCTTTTTTTTCTTCAACCACCATTTTCCCGGTTTCAATTTTTTTTTGGCCACCTGGACCCTGTAACTACTAGTACTATTATGATGATAATTTCGTTCCATACCACAACAGAGACTAAAATTCCATGATTGGAATGTGCCTCCCAAGGATCATCTTTCCATTGGAGGGGTTAAATCGATCTAGGTAGGGGACTAAGCCCAATGGAGGTCATCGGTTGCGGCAGTTTTCACGCTAGTGCAGGTTTGAAATATGGACATGGAGGTGTGGAATTTGTCGAGTCTCCTGCAGGAATTGTGAACTTAGCTACGAGGAGCAGTTGTTTGGTATGTATGTCTTGCTTTGATGAAAAGAATTCTCCCAGTGACCAATTCTGCCCAATTCTGCCCAATTCATTCATTCCTTGCAATTCTTATTCATGATCATGATCCACGTCAATCCTATTAATAATTGGTTGCATACCTCTTATGGATGAACTCGTTTTCTTTCACTGGTTTTATCACATGGCCAATAATCGATCTTCCCCGACTTGACCTCTCCAGCTTTAAGGACTAGTAGTAAGAGGTTTAGTTCCATGTTCCCTCAGTGGAGGGGGCCAATCGAGCCGCCGAACTTGTAGCCGAGGTTGAAGGACGGTAATCCCAAAGGATAATCGACCGGAGTATAGACAATGAAACCTCATGTCTAACACTCAAAGAAACAATCACTCTGCTTTCTTCCCGTCCATCCTGCTGGTGTGGTATCATTTCCCTTTATATCATACTTACCCTCGCAAAGAAGAAGTAAGAAAAGGAGCAACAGAAATATTATGAATCGAACATATGAGCATACAAAGAAAGAAAAAATGGTCGATTCCAAATTTCCCTCCATCATGAATGCTCCCTTCACGGAAGAAGCATCGCTCGATCCCTTTCGCTCCCATCCCCACGCCAACCGTCTACTCAACCACCCAGAATACTATCCCATCCGCACCTGGTCACGCCTTCCGAAACCCTCCACCGGCGAAGATGGCTATTTCGCTGGTACCTTAGCGACTTCGACCACCATCCCTCACTGTCTTACGCTCCGTCGTCGGTGGCTTCCTTCGCTCTCCGCCGCCCGTCCGCAGTGGCCCTCCCCCACCGATGATCCGGTCTCGTCAGAGCCATCTGCCTTGCCCCCAGACATTCTCATGCTGCTGGATCTGGCGACACCGGGCGTGAGTGGCCACCCGTCGACGGCTCATGGTGGCATTATCGCAACATGCATCGATGAGGCGATGTCGTTGGCAGTAACCCTGTACTCTCCGCCTCCTGAGTTGGACACTTCCGATCACCAGGGAAGCGCGGAGGACGCAACGCCTCGTGGGAAATTATACACATCGCAATTGGACGTACGGTACAAGAGACCTGTCACGGTTCCTGGATTGCTGATCATCCGCGCCAAAGTGGTCGGCCGTGTGGGGAGAAAGTTTTGGGTGCGCGCCCAGATCCTTCAAGCGGATGAGGAAAACCCGGATCAGTTGGTCGTCACGACTGACGCCATGGCTTTTTGGCTACAGACCACGTCGAATCTGTAAACAGCTCCAAATCTCGATTGCTATGTATGTATGTATTAGAGGCCACGATTGCTGTATATATAGATCTAGATCTACCACTAGAGTGTTATCTATGTACATCAGGGATGCATATATCTTGCCATGAAAACAGACCAATTACATCTTTGTCTGCCGCTGTCCTAGGTTCCGGCTGGCACTCAATACTAAACCCACCTGCGTGCTCAGTGCCACTACATCACCCTGCTCGTCCAGTACCTCCACATTCAGATCCGTTCGGCCATCGCGCACCACTTTAGTATGAATTCGGCTGTATAGCCATTCCGCGCCCTGCGCAGGCAATCGCTTCTTAAAGTCGATATTCAAAGTAACGGTAGGGTACCAAAACCGAGCGGTTTTCTCCGCTAACTCTTGTGACGGTGTGGACGCCGACGCCAATTGATCAAGCCCCCCAAGCGCCATCGGGAACATATCCACTAGAAACGCCACGGCCTCGTTGGTCCACCGCGCCTCGCGATCTCCGCCCGGCCGAAATCGCGACCATTGGTCGATCACTTTACGCTTCCCCAAAGCCGGGTCGGGCCCATACAGCTCGAGCTGCAGGGTTGCGCGGCGAAACTTGGGATATGGTGGCTGGAGAAGCACCCAATTACCATCGCGTCCGGTTTGGCCCAGCGCCGCCAGGTTCACGCTGCCATTTGGCCCTGTTCCAGGTTGTGCAGCTGGCTGTAGACTCCAGCCGGTGTTGGAGCTGATGCCTACTTCCGCGGTAGGCGGACTCACAGTGATGTAGCCAGCGACCTTGACTTCGAGTTCGCCATTCTTTGCTTTTTTCTCACTCGGCTGGCATAGGTTGATATGGATTGTACTGGTGCGTGCCCCCAGTTTCATATCTTGCACTGTCAGTATGGCTGGACCAGCAGCTGTGCGACGCAGAAACGAAAGCTGAAGAGATATCGGGGTTGCTGGTGCATCGTATAGCGTCGGATGTGTATGTGCGAAATGGGTAAGAGCAAGTCGGTATATGACAGCGGTAGTATATCCGCCGTGTGGGACTGCAATTACTCAGTTAGTCCCCATTTTCCCGTGGCGTAATTCCGAAAGAACAAGCCAACGCAAAGAAGCATATCGGGATGAAGCATACCTGTTCCGATGCACCATTCATCACGTAGGAACGCTGAATACCGATGGGACTCAAGCGGCGTCACTTTAATGGCCTCCTCGAATGCTGGGCTGTTCGCCGGAAGAGCAGTCATGGTTACGGTTGTTTGGAACAGTTCGAAAATCTGATCGCGCAGCGAGGATAGAAGAGGACTAAGGGGGATTGTTCAATCACTGAGATAGTATAAATGGGCATTGTGTCCTGGCCCACGGAACATTGGAGCTTAATTAAGCATCTGGCTTCTCCGCAAAAGCCTCGGTATGTCCTGACGTCCAACCGAAACGGCGTGCATGTATGTATTAAATGTATGGACAGTACCTGAACCTAAAGGCTGACTAACGCTGTGTACTGCGAACTAACAACTACTATCGAGCGATGTCAACATAAAGCGAGGTATCTAGAGTCTGCGAGCTTTTTCTACAAAAGAAGCACAGTGCATACCATTTTTGAATGCTCTAGCTTATCTGTATTAACAACCTAACTGGCCCATTCGAGTTCTACTACATCACAGTGACCAGTACACCACGCTTTTTCTTTTTCTCTCTCTTTTGCCTATGATTTCGGTTGGCATCTCGATCTCAACATATGCACCTAAAAAATTGCTCGCGACTATTATATGTAGAGTTTGTACTGACAAACCCATAGGCCCGCCTAAATAGCCAATTACTGCTTTAGCGAGGATGCAGCTAGTCTCTCCAGACAAGAAAGGACGCCTAAAAACGATGCAGTTAGCACAACAATCTTCTTCAATAATTGGTAGCTATACAGACCTGTCACTCCCTGAGTTAGGGTTGCTTTAGCTTCCGTGCTACGGGATCCCAACGTCACCGTCATGGCATAGTCGACTCCCTTGGCGTTCTCAAGTTTGTTCGCCCATCGGAAAACTGGCTCATCATCTCGACCATCCCCAATGGCCATTAGGAAATCCGGTCGTCCGCTATGATCGCTCTTGCTTCGTTCCAGGCAATGCCGCCACACCATGGCCGCGGCTGACGCCTTATTCGTGTCAGCCGGCTCTACCACAAGCGCCCCATTCATCATCACGGCATGGACCCCTTGATTGGCACAGGAGTCATTGATATGGTCTGCGCACTCGGAGGCGAGTCGAGAGGCAGCCGCTTGGTCTTCAGCCGATCCATAGTGGAGCATGAGAGAGCAGTGACGTTGTTCGATCCAACTGCCTTCTGACCGCTCTTGATAATAACCGAGAATTTGGCGGACGGCCTCCTTCCAAGCATCAGTCTGTGCTTTATTTGTCAACTTGAACCACTCCTCCGTATTCGGCTCGCGCACGAAGCATCCGTTCTCTGCAATGAGGCCCAAGCCTGCCACCATCCGGAACAATCGCTCCATCTCCTCTGGCATCCTAGAGCTCATGACAAATACTATATTCCTCGAGTCCTCAGTTAGCTCCGTCAGCGTCGTAATGGCTCGCTGCGGTGTAGTGACAATGATGCTTTTTGGAGAGCCCCAAGAGGCCAGGGTACCCTCATAATCCACAATGATAAGCCGACGATTGGACCTGCGATAAGCCTCTTCGAGTTTGCTGACGGACAACCGTGGAACGGCCATGATCTCACGCGACGACTGCTCATTCCAGACACGATTCAGAGTCTCGCTGAAGGATTTGACCCAGTTGGCAGTGGAGTTTTGAAGAACTGCACTGTGTAACCGAGTCCACACTTGCTTGCGTTCCTCCTCGCTCCTCGACAGAGCTGTGTGAATCGCCTCCGCACATTGCCGATAATTCCAAGGGTTGACTAAAAGGGCATGATTCCCGAATACCGATGCACTTCCCGTGAATTCGCTCAGTATCAGAGAACCATACTTCTTGTTGCCATATTTTCCATCTTGACAGTAAACGAATTCGTGACTCGTCAGGTTCATTCCCTCACGTAGACTGGTGATCATCAAAGCATCTGCAACGGAGATCAGAGCGAGATACTGCGGGAAAGCGAGATCTTGTTTGAGGAAAACGAGCGGTTGATGAGCTAGGGTTGAGAATGTAGAGTTGATTCGCATAGCTATATCAGAAATTGTAGCTTCAAGCTCGGGTTGTTCTGTTGTGCTAGTTGCAACTTGGATCAACACCACCTACACATAGATGGTCAGTACGTCCCTGCAGTTATGATTATAGGACGATTGTACAATAAGCCACATACCTGGTCCCTCCATTCAGGGTATGTATTGAGGAATAGCTCATAGCTAAGGAGCTTTTGCCGTATTCCCCTGACTCCATCAATCTTGTCGCGTGAAACGATCAATCGCTTCCCTTCGTATCTTTCGGAGATGGTTTTGACCCATTGCTCAACATCAGTGGCCTTACGTCTCTTGTCCCATGAAGTCGGGTCGATGCCGATTGGGAATTTATTCACGTTGACAAACCGATCTTCGAGCTGCACTCCCTCATTCGTGGCCTCAACGCAGAGAATACGGCTACACGTCTGAAGAAAGTGTCGGCAGTACTCCTCTGTCTGGAAGCCAACAAGATTTGCACCTAGTATGCCTTCGAGGAGTTCTTTACGAGGGGCTAAGCAACGGAAAACTTCCGAAGATGGGAAAGCAATGTGTAAAAAAAAGCCAATTTGGGCGTCCGGTAGCAGTTTACGAAGCATAGCCGGAACCAGCAACAGGTGATAGTCCTGGATCCATATTGAATCTCCGCGCTTCCAGTTTCGAGCGATTCGCTCTGCGAATGCTTGGTTGGTCTTAACATAGTAGACCCAGGAGTGATCCTCATATGCCTTGCTTTTCGGGTTGTCAGGAATCTGGTAGTGGAACACAGGCCAGAGTATCGTTTTGCAGAAGTGAGTATAATGGCCATCAAAATCGCCGTCGCTAACATATACAGTCAACGAGTCGTACTCATCCTCAAGCTTTTCAGCAATCGCAGACTTGGTGTACTTAGACAAGGCATCTGTCGGCATTCCCAGCGTACCGACCCAGACCTTGTCTTCTAACTGTCCTGCATCTGTCGCAGACCGAACAGCGTTGCGAAGCCCCCCATTGCCCTGCTCTGCCGTCTCGATTGTCCATTCAGCACTGGAGAAGGAACCCTTACGACTGGGTTCCCTGCTGTGGTGAGCCCCACTATGGCGTTGAGTGTAGAGTGGTTTCTGTTCCTTATCGGATCTCTTGGGAGAAGGCTCTGTCGTGGGAGCAACAGGCTCCTGGTGCTTAAGGATGGATGGGGATGGCGGAATAGTTGCTCGTGGCCGCGGCTGGTTCAAAGATAACGTTGAACCCCATGCAGGAGAGTGTGCTTCACTTTCGGTCAGAAGACTTCCATCTTCAGTTATATCCGGGAATGGATATCCGGAATGCTCTTGTTCCGCCTTTGCAAGATCTGATGAAAAGATCCGCTCATATTCGGTGGTGGCGCCGGGTGTGAGACCGACTTTCTGGTCGCGGTTCTGTTTCTCAAATAAGCTGACGGCTGCATTGGCTGTTGAAGCTGAGGCCTCCGCGCCTGGCTTCGACGGGTCAGGGCCTGTATGGAGTGGACGATCTTTCGACTCATCGAGGTGGAAGTTAACGGTGTATGGCAGAAACCTGAATCATTGTCAGTTAAGCGTATCAGCAGCACATCGAAAGAGCATAAAGGCGAAGAACAGGTAATCCACATACAGCGAAGCGATATAGATCGTCATTGTGGCAGCTTCCGAATGCGCCCAGCAACAGAAAACAAAAACGGGGAGAAGAGGGGAGAAAGAGGCGGCAATTGAAAGGTCGACGGGAAATCTAGACTACAGTGACATGGAGTGTCTTTCTTAGACCGAAAGAAATGGCGCGACCAAGCCCAGGCGAAGAACAGCCTGTTGATGTTGGATGCGGGAGCGTGGGGGAGGATTTTAAAGATGATGATGGTTGGACCTGAGGCACAAATCCTCCCTCATCACTACGTCATGTGAAGAGAGACTCTGCTCAACAACTTGTTGCTACAGTCCCACCGAGAGAATTGTCGGTCGGCTGGAATCCCATCAAACTCGGAGGCAGCCCAAGTTCCTTATACTTGGCCAAGATTTTGCCTAGGCAGCTTGGTCTACAATATCATACATCATACCACCAACACCGCGATTGGTACTATGTTAACAGACTTTCTGTATAGCCATGGGTTGGTTGTTTTCATTGGCGGGATCTACCAAGGTGAGGGGCAAATCACGTGATGGTGTAGCTTCTTATCAGATAAGTGCTTTAATACGAACTGTACTGTATGTTTCATAAGCGGCATCTCTTCCGCCGATGGGAGGTCGGAGTTCCTCTCCCGTTCTCGACCATGCCCTTGCGCATCACCTCTGCTCCTGTTTCTGGTGTCAAGAAAAGAAGGAAATCATCCAACACAGCGCTTCGCCCTTCTCCATTTGCCGGTCATGCTCGTCGCAAAGCTACTAGTATCACACAGTCATCCAACGATGTCAAATCCAATGACCGCAGTGGCGGATTTCAGGAAGAGTATGGCCCAGGGCCACTTCCGGATATTGGAATGTCACGATACATCCCAGAGACTGCTCCGGTAGAGGATGTTATTCAGGCCATATGCCACATCAAGGATAGTTTTTTCGAGGCCCTTCCCACTCGAACAGGCATGAACAGCACCCGTGTCGCTGAGTTATTGAATCTTCGTCGGTCGCTGCCACCACTCGCCTCAGTGGCCCACATCCATACATTACTGGATGCACCAACGAAGGTGGAGAGAGAGATAATGGGCTATGTAAATTCTGGCCGAATCCGTCGATTAATTGTTCCGGGCAGAGGAAATGATGCGGCTGGGTTAGGGGATTGCTTAGTTCTCTCGGAGGATTGGGAAAAGCTTGTGCGAGACAGTTCTATAGAGTCCCATCTTAAAGGTGTCGCTTGCCTCTGTGAGACTTGGGTTTCCGATTGCTAATTTTTTTTATCAGATAAGTTTCTGGACGTTCTCAGTCGACTCGGCGCCTCTTTCGCTGTCCCGGATACTTTGTTTTCTGTCCCGGAGTGCATGACGCTTGTTGGTGCTGGCTTTCTGGTCTCCTCCCCGTCTTCGGTCAAGGGATCTCCGGGCGTAATATCGCTTCCGACCTTCCCACCGCCGCCTTCATCCGGGAACTCGTCTAGTCGGGGTGATACCGCTACACTGGATGACAAAGAAGGTAGCGAGCGCTCTCGATGTCATACAACAGCTTTGTTCCTATCTCTCCCAAACACAGGGCCTTATCTTCGGCTTCTAGGCGCTGGCAGAGCGCATCTCCTCTCACTTATTAGAAAGTCAAACTCTGGCGAGGTGCCGCTTCATCTTCTCCGGGATCGCTGGGATGGGGCAGTCGAAACAGATAAAGGTTTCAGCGCGGCGAAGAGAATAAGAGGCGAACACGCGGGTATCTTGCCAGGTAGAACGAAGAAATGGAAAGAATTATGCGGAATGAACTTTCGCTGGGTTCTAGAAGAGGCCCTCGGAGCTGGGTTGATCGAGATCTTCGATACCGGTAGTGTTGGTCCAGGGGTACGGATTCTATGATTGACCGCCTGTTTGGATACGACTAATATAGAGCGAGATACACCCCACGGTAAGGGTGCAATTGGGCCGTAACGCCCAGCTAGACCTTCATACGGAGAGGCGTATAGTCTGACTATATATGCAACATATATATATCCAGCCTGACGAGGAGCAATATTGGATACGGGCAATTTGAACTACTGTAACATTAGCATGTATGACATGATTCCAGTACGATGCCTCTACTTCTCTGCCCACCCCTAATCTACCCCCTATATAACATGTCTGGCGTATCTGCATCATATACCAGTGTGGCACAGGTCGTGGTTCTGTCTGACTAGGTGGAATGGACTATGGCCACTATATCGAACGTCGGCGGGGCAACCCCCTAGTGGATACAGCGGAGCTCGACATTGGGCGGAGTCCCCAAAGCCATAGTGACCAACGTGGGGCTGTTCATCGGCTGGACGGTCCAGAGGATATCTCAGTGTAACCAAAGAGCTTGAATACACATAAACGCTACGCGATACGTTATGGCAATGGGAGACCTTAATACTAGAGGATTGCTACGGAGCCGAATTCTTGTTGGGGAGACAGTAATTGACCCTCGTCCTACTATCAATAGAGAAGAAATTGACCATGCCAAATGTATACGCTGCCAGAATTGAGTTGTAGTAACACATTTTGCCACCATCATACTCCCTGCTCCTAAGATCTGTGAATTCAAAAAGAGAAGTATGATATGCTGATTCCATACAAGATGTGGGGCAATGCGGGGGTGAGTAATTATCATAAGATTATTGGCAAGGAAACAAGACTAGGGTGGGGAGGAACTGTACGTGAAACACCTCCATACCCCAATCCTGAAAGAGTGAACGTATCGAGTTGAAAAGGTGACGCCAAGGGAAAGAAGAGTGTAGTAAAAACACGAATAAGAAGGAAGATTAGGGACTGGGAGTGGGAGGATCACAAAAGTAAATTGGACCAGCCTCGCAACAGGTCTTTCGTTGAATTTAGATATTGTCTCATCAAGGCATTAAGGTGTCAACAAAAGAAAAGTGGAAACACTGACGACAAGGAATCATGAAAAAGTAGGGCTACATGCAATAGGACATGTGAAGGGTATTGAGATTCTTCGGGAAATAGTCCAGTTATATGTCAGGAAGATAACCAGCAGTCGTCATCATCAACCGGATGCCTACGGTAGTAGATGGAAGGCTGAAAAGCGGTGAGTATGAGCAGAATACGGCTTGCGATCACCGTTGGCCTGCACTGACAGTGCTCGGCTCAACCTGAGGTTGTGTAGCATTTGGTGCCGATGATGTCAGCGCATTTACGTTTGCTGATGCAAGCTGTGCCCGTAACGCCGCTACTTCGGTCTTCAGTCCTGTTAGTTCTTCGTGAACAGAACGAATATATGCCCAGAGCTTATCCTCTCGTTCACGATTCTGATCAGCATAATTCGAGTCATGTGGTCCCGGAAGATGCCCATTATTATTTGCCGTCACCTCCGGGCCTGTTTTGGATGTCAGAGGTCCATTATGGTTGCTAGAAAGGCTGTGGGGTGGGGTATGTTTCGTAGCGGCCGGTGCTGGTTGCACAGAGCTCTGAGAGTGAATTGCAAAACGAGAATCTGAGGTGTTCAATCCAGGTGGCGGAGGAAGCTGAGGGGCGCCAGGTTGTGGCGGGGGAAGGCCTAAACTACCAGCGGTATGATTTGCAACAGATGTCTGAGAGGACCCCGACCTGGTATATGGTTGTTGCTGGAATGACTGCGCCATGCCTGGAGAGTGAGCGCGATGAAGTTCAGGGCCATGGCCGAGCTGATGTGAAGATAGTGCATTGGGTGAAAGTGGCTTTGGGCTTTCGGTGACATTTGATGGTTGGAATATTGAGGCTCCGGAATGCTGACCAGGAGGTGGAAATGTCAAGTTACCAGGTTGCGAGATGGGGGATGCTGAGGCGCTGGAGCCGCCGTGACTCGCAGGAGGAGGGAAAAGGCCCCCTGGAGATGGCCTGCCAGCCGCAATTGGGGGATATGTGCTCGGCTGCCGCGGCTGATAACTATTTGCGGTATTGGATCGCGTGATCGAATCTGTGGTAATATCATGTTTTTTAATGCTGGGCATGCTCATTCGGCGTTCATCCTCTTCATCCATGCGCTCGGGCTCTGCATAAACGAGGCCATCCATCGTATCCTCCGCACCTGGATGACCCCCAGCGTCGCCATATTCATCTTCAGGAGCATAACTTCCCATGCTCGCCCGACGACCGGCGCATCCGCCTTGCCCTTTGTTATGTCGAGCGAGAGCGTCACCACGAGCAAACCGACGCCCACATTTGGGACAGATGTGTGGACGCTCTCCAGTGTGGAGTTTCGTGTGTCTTTTCAAGTCGTGAAGTCTTCGGAAGCGTGATTGGCAAGTCTGGCACACGTACGGTTTCTCTTGGCTATGGGTAAGAAGGTGGCTTTTGAGGTTATGATGCCTCGTGAATTCCGTAGAACAGTATGGGCAACGGTGTTTTTTAGCCGATGGCGATCGCTGGCCGGCCTTATTAAATCCAGAACCTGGTAAGCTCAGGCCACGACGGGGATCACCAAGACCCGCCGTCGGCATGGGGTAAGAGAAGGACTTGTTACTTGCATCCTGCAAGTCCATTTCGTCCCTATGACGTGGTCGATCCCCATCCTGTGACGCCGAATCTTCTATCGGGCCCGGACTGGCGACTGTAGACGTATTCATCAGGGACGTGCTGTTATCGACCGTTCCAAAGGCATCCGCCGCATTGCCTGAAGTCGAATGCGCATCGACCTGCATCTGATCGGACATATGTACGGAGTCATTAATCGAATTCATCTGTTGCTTCTCGGTTGCACCGAGAGCTTCTCTTGCGACCTGTGAGCTGTTTTGCTCAGGCTCCTTCTCATGTTCTACTAGTCGATCCACCGGACCGACTGGCTGTGTAGGCGTTGTCATGGGTGGCAACGAGTCTCTTGATCGTGAGACGTTCAAGCCAGCACTGGCAATGGAGGTAAGACTCGAGTCTGGTTTCGTATGCTTCAGGGAGGCGGCAGATTCTGGCGAGCTTGAAATGATGGAGGCGGAGGGTCCGGACAATGGGTTAGGGACGGTAACAGGTTCGTTATTTGATTGCATCAACGCAGCCATGGATAACGAGTGCTTCACGCCAGCCTGGAATGGTTGGCGAAAGAACGGGGAAGCTACTTCGGCGGAACTCATGTCAGCAAACCAATGTTGAGAGTTGCGAAACAGTTGCAGGGTGGGAGTCAGATATGCAGGACAGTAGGTGAAATAAAAGGCTTTTGACGCATTCAAGAGGACCCAAGGAGCCAAGCAAGACAGAAAAGCAAGTGAGAGCCATCAGAGGCACTGTCGCGTGGGGCGCTCACCTGGATCCGATTGTGGCGCAAGCTGACGGGGGGTTCAGCTTTAGCGATGTTTCGTTAGAGAGTTAGGTCCCACGGGAACAAGATGGGCCTTGCAGCAGTAAGATAAAAATAGCGATCAGCCTTGCAAGCAGAATGAGAATGCTGGATTCTATTGTCTGCTTGATCAATACGAAGCTAGTTGAGATTAACCCATCTGGAGGAATCGAGATGGGAGCACGGCGGAATGGGAGATGTCAAATTAGGCTGCAGAGGAAGCTGGAACTAGCGATTGTCGGGGAAACGATGGAAAGGAGAACCATGCAAATCTAGATCATTGACAAGGCGTCAATATACTGTCGAACTGGATGGATCACGGGTGATTGATAGAAGGCAAGGGGTGTGGAAGAGCCGAAGATGTCAAGGGAGCAAACCAGAGGAAGATACAAGGTGAGGGAACGAGCGGGTGGTTGGATGGAGACCAAGCCTCAGCCTTCAAGGAAAAGGAAAAAATAAGGATCACTTAAAATAATAAAAAATAAAAATAAAAATAAAAATAAAAAAGAAACGGCTTACAAGAGACATGCAGTGGAGAGACCAACACAAACTAGGAAAAGGATAATTACAAGACCCGGTTGTTAGGAAGAAAAGTTGGTGGGTTAGAAGGCATGAATAAACCTGATAAAGGCTGTGGCAGAATGGATGGATCCAGGAGATGATGCAGTTGCTGGCTTAGTTGCGGTCTCGAAATCTGTTTGGGTCAAAAGGTGCCTGGAAAGCGGAGGCCGTGGTTCTGCCTAGGAAAGGTGTTTGGAAAGCCAAAAAAAAACAATTAGTAACGATAATAAAGATAGCAAATTTTTTTTTTTAAA